AAACTAGTCTTGCCAGAGAATTCTCTTTATTTTTTGAGACAAAGTCTCACACAGGATAAAGTGCAGTGACTCAATCTCGACTCACTGCAAACTTCGCTGCCTCCGCAGTTCAAGTGATTCTTCTGTCTTAGCCTCCCAAGTAGCTGGGACTACAGGTGTATGTCACCACACCCAGCTAATTTTTGTCTTTTTAATAGAGATGGGGTTTCACCATGTTGGCTAGGCTGGTCTTGAACTCCTGATCTCATGTGATATGCCTACCTCTGCCTCCAAAAGTGCCGGGACTACAGGTGTGAGCCACCACACCCAGCCTTGCCAGAGAATTTACTCAGAGTCTGAAAGAACAGTCAAAGTCCATCATATCACTTGCCCAGGTGTTCCTGGAAAGTTTTTTCCCTAATTTTTCAGGCCATCTCTCATTGTGGTGTACAAAATCAGCATCAGTGACTGCCTCGAACTTACTCTCTTCCTTTGGCAGTTACTTGAGCCAAGAGAAGCCTGGATGAATCCTATGATTGAGTGAATAGAAAGCAAATTTGGCCCTTCAAAATGAACTGAAAGAAAACGAGCAGAAGGGACTGCATGAGAAATGTATTTCTTTCTTTCTTTCTCTTTCTCTCTCTCTCTCTCTCTTTCTTTCTTTCTTCTTTTTGGAGATGAAGTCTACTCTGTCACCCAGGCTGGAGTGCAGTGACGCGATCTAGGCTCATTGCAACCTCTGCCTCCTGGGTTCAAGCAATTCTTCTGCCTCAGCCTCCCAAGTCGCTGGGACTACAGGTGCATGCCATCATGACTGGCTAATTTTTTGTATTTTTAGTAGAGGCAGGGTTTCATCGTGTTAGCCAGGATGGTCTTGATCTCCTGACCTCGTGATCCACTAGGCTCTGCCTGTCAAAGTGCTGGGATTACAGGCGTGAGCCACCGTGCCCAGCCTGAGAAATGTATTTTAATACCAATGTGAATAGACAATGAGCTGCATTTATGGCAGAGGCAGTACAATGCAGAGGTTAAGAGTATGCTTGGGTTAAAATCCCCATTTTGTTTATTTAGAGCCTTGTGACTTTGGGCAAATTACTGAGATGAGTCATACAAAGCACTTAGAAGAGAGACTGTCACCATGTAAATGCTGGATAAATAATAGCTATTATTATTGTTATTTACTGAGCTCTTGCTATACATCAAGTACTGTTCTAATTGAATTATCTTAATATGTCCATATAACACACTCAATAAGCCAAGTACTATTATTATTCCTAGCCATTACATGGATAAGAAGGACTAGGGTATCTGCAATTGAGATGGAATTCTAAGAAAAACACATTGCTTATACTCACCCATGAGGTTGACCAAGATTTCACCATGAGTAGTATAGGAAGAAATTATAAACTTATAATGGCTTGGCTTTTAAATTGTTCATAAAAATGATGGAAACCTAGGTATCCTTGCTTCAAAAAAATGTAAACAGCATGAAAATAACTTTCTTGGACACTGATATTTGAGGACATCTTTGTCACCTTCCATTCTGGAACATTCCGCAGGATGAACTGAATCTGTGAGGTGTTGGCAGGGCATCAGTCTACAGACTCAACTCAGATTAAAGTGGGGTTTCAAAGGGTCCTGTCATCTGCTGAGGAAATCCACCTTCAAGGGCATATTTGACTGCTTCATAAGTCTCATCAGCCCCATGATCCATGAATCACACTCTAGTTCTAGACTAGTCTAGTCGTGTTTAGTTTAGTTCCATGATTAGACAAATCCTCAATGATGAAGGATTGACACCACACCCCGACTTTACCAGGCATCCTTGTCCTAAGAATAAATAGCAAACACAAGCTGCTTAGTGGGTAAATGTGGTTAAATGAAGGAATAATAGACAGTGACTCAAAAACTCATTCAAGCTGTACATTACTTCATTCTTAAAGGACTGAAGACAACTGGGAGGGAAGGAACTGGTAGTAAGAGTGTCCAGCACTGGCAAGACAGAACAGAGAACTAAGTTGTTATATATCCATATTGACTCATGTTGCTCAACCTGTTCTGTGCATCAGCATTAACTAGAAATCCCCCTAAAAAGGAATCCTCAGACCTTTCCCAGAAATTCTAATTTCATAGGTCTTAGGTAGAGACCCTGGATCTCCATTTTTGTTGAAAGTTCTAATGATTCCAATGCAGGACTTCTCTGGACCACACTATGAGAAACACTGCATTAATCTGCTCAAACACCCTCACCCATGTAAGGAACACATTATCCCAGCTTATCAAAACTAGCTGAGAGTCACACATTCTACAAACTTGACATTATTAAGAACAGAATGGGTTCCTTCAGTTTCTCAAACTTCTCTGGAAAGCTTTTTCTTCTCATAAAAGTGAGCATTTTAAACTGATCAGGAATAGACACAAGTTTCTATTCCATGTTTAAAGTGTTTTTTGTTTGTTTGTTTTTATTCAGGTGATTCATTGCCTGCATTCATGACAACTTTCTCTCATCACTGAGCTTTAGATACAAACTTTAGTAGAGATAGAGGGCTGTGAACCATTCCACACTCTTCTGCATTGCTTCATAACTTAGCTCCCATCTTTGATCTGTCCCTGGAGAATCAGTCTTTCAGCTCCAAATGTAATCACTTAAGTGAAGGGCAGAACTGATGTGCAGTCATCTTAATAGCCAAGCTAAGTGAAGTAAATAGAATTGATGGATACAAATGTTCGGAAGTGTGAAGCTGATTTAGATAAAGTAGGTATTTCAGTTTGAGATCTAATAAAAAGCAAAACAGCAGCCACATGGAGCCTTTTCCCATGACTCCCGGGGGCAAATCTTCATCTAAATCAATACTATAAAAGTAACAAAAGAAACAAAGTTGTCTGATGCATAATTCATTTATTATGAACCCATGTGAGATTCAAACAATTGAATCAGGTTATTTATGTGATCATTAAACCCAGGGGTAATTTCAACAGATTTTTGCCCTGCTTAATAAAAATCTTAGTTGCAGATTTAGCCAGATTTCATTCAAAATATTGTCTCTTCCAACAAATTATTCCTCATTACAGCTGACATGTTGAACTTCCTCACTGTAATAGAGTATATATATTGTTTATTCTATTATCTTATCGCAGCAAAGAAATATAAAATGTAAAAAAAAATACAACAATCCCCTTGACAATTATTCTTGCTTACATGCTGTAGTCTAATTACTAACAATTCTAATGGAATGACTTGTTAGTAACCTTGATTTTAAACAGAAATACTTTAAATATAACAGCTATGATAACTAAATTATACTAGGATTGAATTATGAATACTAATTAAGTATATTTTTATTTGAAAAACTCAAGGGACATGCCGTTAGTAGGACCACACTGAAAAGAAAAATTATCATCAATGCAATGGAAATGTATCCCATTAAATAATATGAAGTGGCCTCAAAGAACTAAAGATTAGTTTTTATGGATATGTGCAGAACCATGAGCAGACTAAAACTCTTTTGAAGACTCATCAAAACAAGCCGTCTAGCATGGCCTGCTGGTTTGACAACTCAGGATGGCACCCCTCTGAACTATAGTATTATTTAATAGTTTCCTACTACATAGCACATCATCACAAGCTGAGTGACTTAGAACAACAGACATTTATTACTTCTCAGTTTCTGTGGATAAGGAGTCTGGGTATGGGTTAGCAGAGTCCTCTATTCCGTCTTAAATCCAGGTGTAGGCAGGGGCTGTGATCTTATCAAGCTTTGTGTCCTCTTCTAAGATCACAGTTTGTTCAAAGCACTCATTTGCTTGTAGTTTTATGACTGAGTTCCCCGTTTTCTTGCTAGCTGTTGGACAGGGATCATTCTCATCTAGACATTGCTCTCTGTGCCATGTTCTGTCTACAATGTGGCAGGTTGCTCTTTCAAGGCTAGCAAGAAATGTTTCCATGCTTCAAATTTCTCTGACCTCTTTTTGGGGTTTGGCCAATTGGGTCAGGCTCACTTGGGATTGTGTCCCTTTGGATTAACTCAAAGTCAACTGATTAGGAACCTTAGTTACAGTTACAAAATCTTTTCACCCATATAGGGTACCAATATTACGGCAGTGATATTCTATCATAGTCACAAATCCAACTCACACTCAAAGGAAAGGGAATATATAGAGTGTGTACATTAGAGCCATTTTAGGTGTACAATCTTGAGGACTATTTTAGAATTCTGCCTACCACAACAGGTTTCTCCTCTAACTGCTGAGTGGCATGCTAGGTGTTCTATGGTTGTGAGAGGCTGAAGGATATTTTTTTTAATCTTACACATTTTTCAACCTATATCTGGGGGGAGGCTCAGCATAGAACCACTGGACATTTGGCCACTGAATGCACAGAAGCCAATAGAAAGGTGCAAAGTCCTGGAGTATAGGCTGTCTTTTAACAACTCATGGTAACAAGGAAAGGATAATGGCCAGAAAATGCCAGTGCAAAACTCTGGCTACCTAGTCTAGTTAGAGTGTATGTTGAATAGCTGGCTTCATCTACTGAAGTGTATAAGGCAGAGAGAACTATCTAGAAAAAAATGAAGAGTACCATATTTGGGACCTTAACACTACAGCTTCCAGGTTCCATTTATTTTAGATTCTTCTTGTATTTATAGTTTTATTTTTATTTTTCCTGCTTCTTATTGCACTAGCTGCTCTGGTCTGGCTATGTTTCCACTATAGTTGTGGCTGATCTTATGAATATCCATTTACTTCCTCAAGGTAGAGCTAGTGAAATATGGCCTGGACACAAATCTTAACTGGATACTTCACTGGCTACACGGCTTTGGGTAGATGCCATCTCTCAGCCTCAGTTACATTACCTATACCACACAGACAGTAATAATATCTCAGAGTTGTTGAGTTGAAATACAGTTGACTTGAATGACATAGGTCAGAGCTCCACAGACTCACTTATACACCAACTTCTTTCTGCCTCTGCCACCTCTGAGTAGGCAAGACCAACTTCTCTTCTTCCTCCTCCTCCTCAGCCTACTCAGTGTGAAGATGATGAAGATGAAGGCCTTTATGATGACCTACTTCCACTTAATAAATGGTAAGCATAGTCTCTCTTCTTTATGATTTTCTTTTTACTAGTTTGCTTTAGTGTAAGAATTTAGCATATAACACACATACAATATATGTGTTAATCAACTGTGATCAGTCAGGCTTCTGGTAAACAGTAGGCTATCAATTCTTCAATTTGGGGACAGTCAAAAGTTATACATAGATTTTCAACTGTGGAGGGGTTGAGGGGTCAGTGCCCTAACCTCTGAATTGTTTAAAGATCTATGACCCTTAAAATACATCTTGCTCCCAGACAGTACCAAATTGCCATTAAATAAAAGCTATTGTTATTGTCATAATTAATACAAGGTGGGCATTATGGTTATTTTGCTCCCAAGGTATACCCAGAATCTAGGGCCATGTCTGATTTACAGCATCCACTCAACACATTCCTGTCACAATTCCATTAAGCCTCTCTTGCCTTCTGATCTACCCACCATATACCTGTTGTCAAAGTGAAAGAAACATGTAATTCCCCAATTTCGATTTTCAGTGGTATTTTGCTGGTATTTTTCAGTTTGCAGAATGAAATCTGAAAGTCATAGCAAGGCATGCAAAACCCCTATCAACTTTCCAAGGAGCTCTCTATCCTCATCTCCTGACAGCCTGTGCTCGCACTGTTCAGGCCATGAGGAACTACTGCTATAGCCCAAACGCCAGATTGATTTCCCCAACTGCTTCCTTTTCCTTCTGAGAAGTGCTTACCCATCATTTAAGAATCAGTTTAAATCTTTCCACTTGGGAGGAGTCTTGCATGAGTCCTTCTTCCAAAGACAGAATTAACCCCTTCTTCTTTCTGCTTTGTATATATATTCAACAATGATCCTTTCGAGATTTATGAGCAGGTTGACATACTATATCCTATACAAACTATGAATCCTGGGGAGGAGGGGCCATATCTGATTTATGTTTCTCTCCTCAGTACTTATCCATGCATCTGAAATGTATTAGTTGATCAGTAAACGTTGCAGTAAATGAAGGAGGAATGTAAAGGAAAAAAAGAAAGACAAAAAATGAATGGCATGCTATCTGAAGGGCACGAGGAAGATTTAAGCCAAAAGCATAACACTCCAACAAAAATCACTATGCCCATAATTCAATCATTAAAGACTTATTTTTTCACATTAAGCATTCCAGGTGTCCTGAAAATAACTCAAAGGGCAGAAAACTTTAATCATTAACTTTTATTTGTCACCTTTGTGCATGAAAAGTGAGATGCCTGGCAACCTGGGAACTTGAAGCCAGTTGGCACTAATGTATAAAAAGGGAGCCATGTTGATAGCCAGTTTGATAGCAAGTACAGAAGCTTAACCAACAAAATACCTAGCTAATTGAACTGGAAAATCCAGAGTTATTTTAAGACAACCTGGCTGAGTGCAGTGGCTCATACCTGTAATCCCAGCACTTCGGGAGGCCAAGGAGGGCGGATCACAAGGTCAGGAGATTGAGACCATCCTGGCTAATGCTGTGAAACCCCAGTCTACTAAAATTACAAAAAATTAGCTGGGTGTGGTGGTGTGTTCCTGTAATCCCAGCTACTCAGGAGGCTGAAGCAGGATAATTGCTTGAAACCGGGAGGTAGAGGTTGCAGTGAGCTTAGGTTGCACCACTGCCTGAAAGACAAAGCAAAACTCTTTCTCAGAAAACAAACAAACAAGCAGAAAATACAGAAAAAATTTACAGAAGTCAGCTTCTGTGCTGGGAATTGCTGGCTCAGGGTTTTATAATATATATTCCATTTCTTTAGGTACCCAAAATGCCCGACATGGTATTCTCAAAGGTAACATCAGTTTGCTCTTGTGAACTGCACTGTCCTTCACATTTCTTAGGTGGCCATTCAAGAGATATTTGCAAGATGGTTTAGTGTTCTTGTGAGATATAAATGCCTGTCATTAGCAAAGGGAAAACTTGGCAACTGGTCTGAAGTATCAATTATTTCAAATAGTTTTTACAGTAGCCTGGATTTGATCAAACTCTCTACTTACATGCCAACATTCCCTTTTCATATTTTAAATCCTTAATGATTTTAATATAAAGTCAATCAGCACATTTGGATTAATGAACATAGAAATAATTTTTATTAACTAATATGAAATTATAAAAATATGTTTGCTATTCTGTGTTGAGAAAGAAACCACCTTTAATAATTTCTCCATAGCTCTCTTTTGGGACTAAAAGGTAACCATGTATGGAGGAAATAAAATAATCAAATATGTATTTAAATAAATCAGGGATTTTTTTTTTGAGGAGTTGTTTCTTAACAATAATGTTGACAACCTGGTAAACAAGTAAACACTCACTATTATACATATAAGGTGACAATGTGTGGCAATAATGAATGCAAAGTGTGCATATTTACCAAGAAATCATTGAGAAACTATATAATGGGTTCAATGATGATGGCCTTGCAGAAACATTTTGAAGATCCCCTTTTAAGAACTAATATGGTTTGGCTGTGCCCCACCCCAATCTCATTTTGAATTCTCATGTGTTGTGGGAGGGATTGGATGGGAGGTAATTGAATCATGGGAGCAGGTCTTTCCCATGCTGGTCTCATGATAGTGAATGAGTTCACGAGATCAGATGGTTTCAAAAATGGGAGGCTCCCTGCACAAGCTGTCTTCTCTTGTCTGCTGCCATGTGAGACGTGCCTTTCACTTTCTACCAGAATTGTGAGGCCTCCCCAGCCACGTGAAACTTAAGTCCAACACACCTCTTTATTTTGTAAATTGCCCAGTCTCTGGTATGTCTTTATTAGCAGCATGAAAACAGTCTAATACAGGAACTGTTTTTAAATCCAATTTATAAATCGTCCTTCCCTGCCTGCTCTAGTTGACACCTGGCTGCCCTCAGGCTCAAATTTTCCAAACCTCTTCAAATCTCATTTTGATGATTGCTGCTTTACTTCTTGTAAACAGCTTTACCAAAGCGGGAGACATTCAAAAAGAGAGGTAAAATGACACCCAAGCAACTTAGCTATTCTCATTAGCTCATGTAAAGGTTTGCTAGAGAAGAAGGTGGTAATTAATGGTAAGAATCAGCATTTAGTGTTATTAAATTTCAATTATGTACAATCCTTGTTACATTACTTGCACTAATTAGAAGTTCATAGCATCATTGTGAGTCAAAGCCATCCTAATAATTAATTTCTTACTACTCAAGGTAGAAAAAGCATCTGCAATTCTACTTTATTTGGAAAAGCTATCTTAGATTCACCATTCACTTAAGCCACTGACTTTGAATGTTTGAAATGGGATTTTGAAAAGGTCATTTTTCTATATATTTTATCAGCTATTTGCTTTTACATTTTTTGAGAGTTATGCATTGTGTATATAAGTACTGTGGCACTATTGTATCACCAAACAGTGGAAGAGAAAATGATGACACACTACTCTACTTGTGTTTTTTTGTTTCTAAAATCCTGTTTTGTTTTTTTTCAGTGCTTTTTGATTTGTGTCTTATTAATTGCAAGTTTATACCTGAACTGAGGATTCATTCGTTAAAGAGCCTGAGCATGAAGAGTAGCTTATTTTTCTTTATGAATGTAATCCTACAATTTTACAAGAGTTAGTAAAAACCCTATTGAATTTATATTTTTCCTAGACATTAGAAACATAAAGAGTCTTTCCATGAGAAATTGTTTGAAAGGGAATTATATTTAGGCCATAAACAAGCTGTGAAAAAAAAAGCTCAATATAATCCCTCCTGTTAAAAATTTGGAACTCCAGAATTTTACTAAATTAATAATGGCTGTGCACACCTGGGAAGAATGAGGAACAACTCTAAGCACAGGACCTATTGGGGCAATTTAAAGACAGAATGTATAAAGTAAGTTGGAGAAAAAATGTACTAAAATACATTAAAGGAGGTGCAAATTCTAGTCTGGTACTTAGACCCTGTCTATTCACAGGCCGGGAGAAATGGAAAAGATCTACAGGGAGCCAAGACCTGTCTGCTTCCCAGGGTCTACTAGTTCTGCTTGATTATGCTGGATTTGCTTACAGTTTTGATCATTTGGTCGCAATTGACAGGTACTTGGACAAATCATATCTGCAGTCAGAATGGACTTACGAAGTAACAAATCAACAGACACATGCTATACATGGAGTGATCCTTGCCTGTAGCCCTGCTTTGAACTTATGCTCCAGTTCTTATAACTAGTTTTCCCCTAATGTTTAAATTCATAGTTTACTTCTAGTACCTGCCTCTCAATTATAAGGAATCTTTTCTTAGAAACTCTTCTAATCCTACCGCCACTCTGCATCTCTGGAGGCTGCCTTCTCCTGGATGTTCCAGCGTAATGTATGTCTAGTCTCATCACATCTTGCTGAATTCCTCAGAAACTTGAATCACCTAGTAGCCTGTTAACTATCTATGCACACGGGATAGTCCTCCCATTATGAAAGTGAACTTCTTTCTACTCCTAGTCAAGTCCATCCAGTATTTTCTCCTGGCCACCCTACACAGATACACACAAGACATACATACAGAGGCAAACAGACATATGGTAAAAACTTTTCCACCACCATAGGCTCAGGTCCACTAAAACAAAATCCTTTAGGGTGTGTTTTTGTTTTTCAAAACTGGTTGTGTCCCACTAATGGATAACAAAATCAACTTTATAGATTCATGATTAGCAGTATGGAATAGAAAAGAAAAAGAAAAAAGAATAGAACAGGTGAATGTTTCACAAGTTGAAAAGGCATTATTTTGTGAAATCCTTTTTAGTTTTTTTTGTGTGTGTTTTTCTCTATGTTCTGGGTTATGATTTTAAAAAAGTAAACTTCTTACTGTAGTTCATCTTCAGAAAAGTTTTCCAAGCCATGCATTGAAGCACTTGGTGAGAAAAGCATCATTTCTACAGTTAACCTTATTGAAATTGCAAATTTGTGATCTGAAATGGATTACACATTAAACCAGTACTTCCTTACAGACACAACAACAAACACAATTTCATCTGATAAGCAAGTTATTGTCAAGGAAGCAGAT